GTCCCAGAGTCTGGTGGTCTTTGTGCGGAGGCTAGCCGAACAGCACTCAAAGCTTAAATCAATGTTTGCTGAAGAAATACACTCATGGCCACACAGCTCAAATCAGGCTATTTTGACCATGGAGGATGGAGGTCAAAGATGGAGAACGTGTTGTTGTTGTTGTTACATACTGACAGCATGTGTAAAGGCGTCAGATGTCACAAACCTTTTCCTGGACCTGCTCCGCTGCAGGGGCCGCCGGGTCCTTGCGGTTCTGTTTGGATCTGCGTCTGGGTGTTGTTTTGGGTTGGGACTCTGTCTCAGACTCGGACACCACAGGGGCCGCCTCCACCTCCTCAGGCTCCACCTCCAGCTGTTTAGTGATCCGGATCCTGACAAAGGATAACATGTAAAGAGCAGAGGTCCACACAAGGTACGGGAACTGTTTGCCATGTAAGAAAAAGTCTATACATTTTCTATCCAACCAATGACTACGCCCGTTTCTAACCTGCGGTGTCCCATGACGATCATCCTCAGCTTGTCTCCCAGGTCCTGCATCTCATGGATCTGGACAAAGGTGCCTGTAGAGTAGATGGAATCCAGAGACTCCACCACATCTGACTCATCACTGCAGGAGACACACAGACGTGTTGTTAGCCCATTTCACAGGTCACTGCACTCATTGATTAGTCTTCATGACACACTGCCCATTAAAGTAGATCCAAGCAGATACAAATGATGGATGAGATATATTTACAAATTATCTGCAGACCTAAGACAAGACGAAAACAAGTCCTCCAGGTAGTGTTAATTTCGTCAGCTATTTTTTTATTTAGTTTTAGTCTTAGTCCTTTGTTAAATTTCCTTTTTAGTTTTAGTCATATTTAGTCACCTTCATCCTGTTTTTATTTAGTCAAGTTTTAGTCGACTAAAAGTCTGAGCATTTTAGTCTTATTTTAGTCAAAGAAAACTAATTATTTTAGTCTACTTTTTGTCAATGAAAACTGTTGAGTCTTTTTTAGTCATCAGGTTATATAGAACATTTCAGTCAAACTAGTCTAGCCAAAACCAATAATTTGTCATTTTAGCAAATATAAATAAATAAGATTATATATTGTCCTTATTTGATGAAAACCACAGGTTGAATGATTAAGAAGCTTTGCAGAGAGTATCTGGTCAGGTTTGTGTTTTTTTTACCTGTGTTATGGCCACATTGCTTCCCTTCTGATGAAACAATGCATTCACGTTTTTTCTCCGCCTCATTGTAGCGAAAATGGGCCCAAATATCACGTTGTTTCTTTCTCCCAAGCAGTGGTGGCATAAGACTTTTTCGTTGTCAGTCATTTTGACGGACAGGATCGTAACATTTCCGTCATAATCCATTATTACCCGTCAAGTACACCATTTATCACTCACTCGCGCTGACGGGGGGGGGGTATTCGGTTAACGCGAGTGCGACCACTGCTCCCAAGCCCTGTTGTTGCCATTTTATTTTATGTTGAATAAGGTTAGTTAGAGACCATGAGTTAGACCCGAGTCTTCCTGATAGTTCATATTGTGCCGCTGCCCGGTGTAATTCAAATCTACCGCCGCGCGCAGCACGGACACACAGCTGCTGCCCTGCCGCAGCACCGGAAATGGAACTGCTGGGAGAAAAACTGACTATCAGAGATGTAACGTTATCTTTGATAATATTTCGTCTCCTCATTTTTCGTCAACGAAAGTAAAGAGAGATTTTGGCATAGTTTTTATTTAGTAAACTACATTTTCGTCTAGTCACTTTTCGTCAACGATATTACATGATGATTTCGTTACAGTTATTGTTTACTGCCGTCGGTGCCGTCTCGTCATCGTCTCGTTTTCGTCATGGAAAAAAAGGTCGTTGACGAACATATTTCGTCATTGTTTTAGTCAACGAAATTAACACTACCTCCAGGAAGGAATCTGCTTGTATGGTGCATACATCGACACAGTAAGAGAAATTAAATTATAAGAAAATAACCAAAAATAAATACTAAAAAATAACTACTGTAAAAAATGACAAATAAAAGACAACCAATTATATTTTCTGTTCTTAGTTTTTTGCATATCTAGATTTTGTGTAAATATTTCTCTATATTTTTTAATGTTAAAATAGTTTTTTATAAAAGTGATATTTTATTCTTACAATTAAATGTATATTACCGTGTCTATGTATGAACCGCACATACACCAAAGCAAGTATGTGTATGTGTGAACCTACCTGGCAATAAACCTGTTTTTAAAGATGATTCTGACTCTAATGAAGCCCCTCTAATGTCACAGAAATGTACTCTCTTTGAAAAACAGTCTGACTGTTAACCCCTCCCACATTACTATGCGTTACATCATGTGAGCCATTCCTCTTACAAAATATAACCTGGCAAATTATACAGTATCATTTTGCAGATTTATGTTCGATAATACTTATTTTGAAAGTGCACGGCTCTGATTTATTGCACATATTTTTTTTCTTCTGAGTAATTAGTCATATTCTTGCCGTACTTATTTTTAGAAAAAATGTATATATATATATATATACATATATATGTAGTTATTTATTTTATATTTGTAAATGTAAAAATAGTTTTTATACTTCTTCTAGATTTGCTCCTTTTTAAAACCTAATTCATCTTATTGTGTTTACATGTGCACCAAAGCAAATGTGTAAATAAACCTGATTCTCACTTCCTGAAGCTGATTCAAAAAAAGTCTCCTATTGGCAAATCGATCCAAAGCTTTTATTGTGAAGTTGCAACAAAAATAAATGTTGAGCATGCAGACAAGCGATCCAATTAACACTGAAGTTTCACACAAAAAAGTGCTCAAGCTCCGACCATCAGTGATCACAGCAGCCATGTTTCCACTTACCTATCATCTTTCTTCAGGAAGACTCCGGCATACGGCTGGGCCAGACGAACCTTCCTCCTCAGCAGCTCCATCAGCTCTTTGTTCTTCACCTGAAAGCAAACACACACTGCGACTCAGAACTGAAGACACAGACCTAGGAGCTTTGGTCTTCTGCTGAAATATCTGATGTACCCAACATGTTTGGTCATAATAGTCTCCATCCACAATACATGTTCTGTCTTACACATCTAAATCAACATATTTTCCATATTTAAAGAAGCTGTTTGTCAGAGATGCACTCCTTTCTAAAATGTGAAACGTTCAATGAAACAACATGTATTTAACTCTGTAATCCCAGGTTTCAAAAACGTAATGACATCTCAAAATTAAAAATACTAGTAAGAGAAGAAGAGGAATATTGCTACCCTATAGGTTTCAACATGCCACATCCTGAGGGACAGACACACACTTTGACATGAGACGAGTTATGTGTCTGCCTGCACAACATGAGAGAATCTAACTGAAATGCTCAATTTACATCTCTTTTGTTTGATTTTTTGTTATGTATTATGTGAATATGTGTTATATCCTGCAATATAATGATTTGTGTTAAGGGAAATATGTTAAGGGTATTATCCAAATGAACATGTAAAGATGCTATTGTCGTTGTCATATTTATAAAATGCATTGGCAATAATGTCATTATGGTCATACCAATAAAGCTATTTAAAATTAGAATTTTAGAGAGACAGATACATATGAGAGAGACATATAAAGAGAGACATATAGACTATTTAGAGAGAGAAAGTCAGATATAATATGAAACAGACACATAGAGACATTAAGATAAAGTAAGAGAGAGATGATGAGTTTTCCTCCACAGATTACATGTTGCTGTGTGGTTGCATCATCCCGTGTCCTTGAACGCAGCACAGCCCCTCACCTCTATGATCTTGATAAAGCGGGGGAACACCGGGTTCCTGCTCACAGCGATCAGCGGGACATTCGGAAACACCTCCGGGACCATCATGGGGGTGAGAGCCGTCATCTGTGGTGCATTATACGGTACTCCCCCTTCTCCCCCGGACTCCTCTCCCCCAGAGCCGGTACTGTCCCCTCCGTCCCCGGAGAACCCCGCACCGCCGGCCCGGTTCCCGTACATCCTGTCCTGGACACAGTAAGGTGGAGAGTTAGCTGAGAGTAGCTCGGTCCGTCCATGGAGAACGGCACCGACCCGCATCCAGCGGTGAGGTCTGACGGTCAGCCTGCAGCCAGCTGTCATCGCGGAGCTGAGCGGAGAGCTGGAGGAGAACCGGGGGGGCTGGAGCCGGCTCGCTGCGGGTGTGTCGGTCCACAGGGTCCGACTGATGCCGCTGCTGCTGCCCGGACATTTTAATTTCATTAAACTAGCCCAGTTTCTGTGGAGCTGTCCAGCAGCGCCGCGCATCTTCATGCAGGTCGCCATGTTGATCTGGAGCTTTCTACCGCACGTGACATACCTTCTTCCGGCAGCGTTTGATGACGTAGGTTCACAATGTTTTTATGCAACGACTGCTAGAGAATGTTTTGAAGGTTAATTGAAAAGTTTGAGGTTAGCCAGATAAATGGTTTACCAATAGCGCAGGGTGGAATACAAATAAGCACATTTGTTATGTTATTCTATACTTTTATTCATACCACACAACTTATTATGTTTACTACTCAAAATCAAATTACATGGAAATCAGCCAGTTATTCCCCCTGCACATCCGAAACCTACGGTGGCCGGCAGGTGCAAACGCTAAACAACGGCCAAAAACACACACATAAGCAGGAAACACCTGCAAATAATGAAATGAAAAACCAACAAACCCTGAAAACACATACAACAGAAAAACGCTGCATTTACAGAAATGATGCAAGCTAAACCTACAACAGACAAACCCCGAAAACAAACGCAACAGAAAAACGCTGCAAATACAAAAACGATATGCAAAGTCAAAAGCACATACAACCGAAAAACACGTTACAACAAAAAAAAGACATTACAAAAAAAAAACATTCCGGAAGTGCTTCAGGCCTCTAGGGGGCGCGCTAAGTGGAACAGATTGATGTATGACCAGACATAGAGAGAACGAACAAGAGGAAAGAAAGTTAATTTAAGTGGAGAAAGATATAAGAAGGTAAGTTTTGTTTTGTTTTTATATATAGAGCGTCATATTACGTAGCTAGCGTTAGCGTGTTTGATCAAAGAGCTTGCAAGAGCACCTAAATGTAACTCTTGACATAATATAGATATAGTATAGAACCGGGACGCCCCTCCCTACACGCAGATCACACAGACTGGGTGGGGTCTCACGCCCTCACCTCGTGGAGGGGGCCTCAACTGAGCCGCAAATGCGATGCGGTGATAAAAAGGAAATCAAATGTAAAAAGTTGAATTAAAATATTAAAACAGCAACACAACATTATTCCCACATTAAAAGACAGTCTGAAGAGGTGTGTTTTGAAGGTCGGTGCAGTCTCTGGTGTTTAATGGGAGTGAGTTCCAGAGGGAGGGGGCAGCGATGGAGAAAGCTCTGTCTCCCCAGGTTCGGTGCTTGGTTTGTGGGGGGATAGACAGGAGGTTGGCTTCTGATGAGTTAATTGAAAGACCGTTCTTTAATACTATTATAATATTTAGGTAGCCGAAAAATATCCACTCTTTTTGACTTAACCTAGCTGTCCTACATTTTATTTCTCCACAGATGTACTGTCCATTCTGTGGTGCCAGCGTGACATCTTCGCATGGCTTTTGTGGTGTCTGTGGCAGAGACATCACATTTCTAAAAGATGTGACTAACAAAGTCCCTGAGGAGATGCCCACCACTAGTGCGCATCTAAGTGCACAGCCTAGCACCAGTGCAGGTAAATAGGTTGTTCGTTTTATTACCAAACAATAAGTATTTATAGAAAACTTGGTTTAAAAGTTCGAATTCTGTTATTATACAAATACATCTCTAAACTATGTGGCTTACCTACTGTTGAATGTGTTATAAGATGTTCCTCAGAAGGGATTGAGGATGAGACTCCTATTCATTTGCATATTATTGTCTTTTTGCAGATTTCTGTTGGAGTAATGAGGAGGATGGATGGCTGCCTTAAACCTGTGAGAGGGAGGTCACTTCCCCTTAATGTTGAACCTCAATGGGCATGTGAAGAACTGTTGGCTGCTGCCATAAAAAAGCAGAAAGCCTTTAACCAGGACTTGGAAGATGGTGCCCATGTCTTGTTGTACCCTGATGCGACGGTGATAACAAATATCCCCGGAACGGACACCCCTTTCACAGTACAGATGTACAAAGAGGCCATTGGAAAGCCCTACCAACGAATTACGTTGTACATCTGTACTCTTGAAGCCGTTGAAAACAGTTGTAAGTGCTTCTGACATATATTCCCCCTTGTTTAAAGCACTAAACTGTATAATAATTCAAATGTAAACATAACAGTTGTTCTGTCTATATTTCTTAACACAATTCATTCCACCCATCATTCCTTTCTCTTCGTGGTTGAACTTATGACGTCAAATGGTCTTTTATGAATAGTGGCAGAAGAAATGGAATTTAAGTATCAACAAAAGCTTCCAAACTTTCCTTCTGTTCAAACTAAATATAAATTCCCTCTTAAGGATTGTAATTCTAAATTAACCTTTTTTCTCACAACAATGTTGGTTTGTTGTGCCCTAAATCCTAATGTGAGAGTGAAAAAGACGGTCAACAATATAATGTACATTTCACAAACATTTTGTGTTTCGATTGAATCCTTTCTGATTGATGTCAATCCAATTATTCAGGATTCAAACCAACATTTGATGATAGGTACAGACGTAGGGGAACAATTATTTGTATAGTATTAATCATGACACTTTTATTTTCTTAGGTTACACTGGAACAACCTCTTCAAGTGACGAGGACAGTGTGGTTGTTGCAAAGTTGCCATCTGGAGACAGTCTTGCTGACACCGTGGTCAGTTTGGATCTATCGTGGCATTTATTCTTAATTAAAGTGAATTTATTTTATTTCAGTCAGTCATTTGTGTGTTGTATGCAGATGTGGGACTTTCCAAATGAACAGAGCACTCCCAGAATGGACAACAGTTTGCCAGGGTAAAATAAAACATTGTCAACATGTTATTTTGTGCCACAAGAAGCAGAATGTTTTAACAGTACAGTAGTTTGAATATATTTTTTGCTTACCTTTATCAGACCTCTCAGGCACCCACAACCAGCGTCTGATCGGGTAAGACTAATTACAAATGTAATTATACCATGTAGGTTTGAATTTGTGAACATGAAATCAATAAATACCTTTGTGTGATAATGACACTGTCATTAGATAAACTGCATCATTATTTATTGGGTAAAAGTAGGATGGAGCACCGACCCCATTCCAGGAAGAGGTCCAGTCTGCCCCGGGTCAGAACACCTTCTATAGGTAAACGATGTTGACAGTTGCATCGTGACACAGTTGTTTGGTGTGTATTTGTATTTGTACATTTGGTTGTTTGCATAGCCTCCAATCACAGTGGGTAATATTGCCAGGAAGCAGAACAATTATACTTTCATACATTTCCAAAGGACACCCACAACATCTTAGTGAAGATGATACAAAAAACACCCACAAATATTTTTCAAAGGTCAGATATTGTTTGTTGCATCCATTTCAAATGTTTACAATGATTGTGCAGGAGTATGACAAAGTGCTGTTGTCAGTTTAGAACCCAATGTATTAAAAAAACCAGGAAGAGGATCGACATCCTTTTGTAAATATGACTGTCATGCATATATTATGTATTTGAAAGTAATTATTCAACTGTCTTCTCACTGCAGCAACTACACAACTGTGTATGCACTTATCATTATTGACAGCCAGTCTGAGCCAGAAGAGGAAACGGAGCAAACTGCAGAGGAAATGTATTAATTGTTACTTTTATCACTTAATTTTTTTATTCTATACTGTAAATCTTATTACTAGCTTCATCATTTAATATTACAATACATCACTTTGTCTTTCCCAGCACAGAATACCTGACTGCGCCAGACATTGTTGCAGAACTCTCTGCAAAAATTAAAAATACCTCTTGCAGCAGGTTCAATATTAATAGAGCCAATGTGTAGGATGGAGCAATCCGTGGCTTCAAAGGGGCCTCATTCGACCCCTCTCATCAGATGCAGGTTAAGTTTACTGATGATGAGGGACAAACTGAGGATGGAGTGGACACTGGTGGTCCCAAGCGTGAGTTCCTGACCCTCCTAATGGAATGCCTGAGAATGAGAAGAATATTTGATGGTCCACAGGACAGGAAATTCCTCAAGTTCGACAATGCAGGTAATGATGTTCGCAAATCTGTCTTATGTTCAATACTGTGCTGTAAATATAGGAGCTGCTTATGAATTTTGCAGCTTGATTTACGTGACAATTAAATTATCTTATACTGTATATCTTTATGATAACGTGGCAACTGTTGGTTAATGTGATAATAATTTAACAAAAAATATCAACAGCTGCAAAAGATGACGAATAATTTCATGCTGGGAGGATGATTGCAACTTCTATAGTTCAAAAACACAAGGAGAAAAAGAAGAAAACATCATGTCATGGCTCACTGTCTCAAAATCTGATTCTAAATGTATAATGTTCTTTATAAAGATATAACTAATACACAATTATGAATGTATAATATAAGCTGTTTTGTGTATTTAATCATGCGTTGGTCTACAATTTAATGATGGCTTCTACATATTTCACATAAACAGACAATGAAAAATGTGTCCTTCATGCTGATAACTAGTGTATGCATCTGCAATTAGTATTCTAAACAGAGCAGTGTGTTGAATCCTTATTTCTTGCATTTGAAACAGATACAATACAAAAAGTGAACTTACTGTTGTGTTCAACTTCTGCCAAAAACTGTACATGTTTTCCACAGGAGCCACAGAACACTTGAACTGTCCCCAGATGTTGGCCACAGAAAGGACAAAACATGGTAGCCTGAAAAGACATACATTGATGTAGTAAATCCATGTAATCAAGTCAATCAAAAACACATAGTCTAAATAGTGGTTAGCTAAATAAATAGATACATCATGTTCACCGTTGAATCTGTGATTTGTCTCTCTCTCTCCTTGAATGTCTAATGCACACTACTATCCTGTCATTACTTTGTCCCTCTTCACATTTTGTCACTTTCTCTCGCTCTCTTTCTCTCTCATTCAATTCAATAGCTTTATTAGCATGACCATAGTTACAGGCAATTGCTAAAGCTCTGTATAGTTGCAACATAAACAAACTGCTAAGAATTCAAATGTCCTTTTTCCGCGGTACTCACTATGGCCCGTGTTATTTGCCTGCACTTGATTTGTCATCTCTTTACAATGTTCTTCCCTCACTTTCTCTTCTCTTCACGTGAAGCTCTCCCCCCTCAGCTGGTGTAGTAGTTAGACACGCTAGCTAGCTATATAAATATGACGCTCTATGTATAAAAAAACAAAACTTACCTTCTTATATCTTTCTCCACTTAAATGAACTTTCTGTCCTCTTGTTCGTTCTCTCTATGTCTGGTCATACATCGATCTGTTCCACGTAGCGCGCCCCCTAGAGGCCTGAAGCACTTCCGGAATGTTTTTTTTTTGTAATGTCTTTTTTTTTTGTAATGTGTTTTTTGGTTGTATGTGCTTTTGACTTTGCATATCGTTTTTGTATTTGCAGCGTTTTTCTGTTGCGTTTGTTTTCGGGGTTTGTCTGTTGTAGGTTTAGCTTGCATCATTTCTGTAAATGCAGCGTTTTTCTGTTGTATGTGTTTTCAGGGTTTGTTGGTTTTTCATTTCATTATTTGCAGGTGTTTCCTGCTTATGTGTGTGTTTTTGGCCGTTGTTTAGCGTTTGCACCTGCCGGCCACTGTAGAAAACCCCATACAAGTAAGACAAATAGAACAATAAACATTATTCATATATTCAAAGCCTACAGAATAAATGTCCTGTTTGAGCATTTAAAAAAATATATTAATATATGACAGGCAGATGCTTTTGTCTCTCATCTCTAAAAAACTGAACTTTTCATTTTGAGCTATCTCTATTATTTGAGAACTTGTTTTAGTAGCAGTCGTGTATATTTTATGTACTGTCCTAATCATTTGAATAAAAACAAAACAGTATTCACTGTGTAGTCTAAGTTAAAACAACCTATTTTCATGCCCTTGGTGGTGTTACTAACTTGGTAATGAGAGGTCAGTTAATACACATGGGCTAACTTTACCTTGTGCAAGGTCCCATGTCATGGCCATTTCTACTGATCATAATTCCATTGTTGAGGTATATACTAGAATAGATTTATACTGTGCAATTTTCCAAACTCACATTGTTTCGCATACAGCATCTCCGTAGTATGTGTATTCACTCTCTGTCCTAAACGGCTTGTTGGAGCTCCTGCCCCCCCTCCCTCCCTATGAGCCCAGTGGCCATCTGCGAGACAGCGAGACACAGCGAAACCCAGCCCGAACACACACACACACACACACACCCTGGCTGGGAGTTTGAGTGTGTGCTCACACACCGACTCACAGCCTCGCCGCGTCCTGCCGTCTCAGGGAGGAGAAATCAGCGGAGCTGCAGCTGAGAAAAGATTGAGTGTGTGTGTTTGAGGAAGTCCGTGGATTGGTCCATTTGGACTTAACCTAACGGCTCCGCAGACGTAACGCGGCTTCACGGATTGGTCCATTTGGGTATGGGCACGTACCCAGGAAGCAAACAATGGAAAAAGAGAAATCTCCAACGAGGCGTTCTGGGGCAGCATAGACAGGCCTTTTCTGTGTTAGATTTTTACTCGCTACAGGGTGTACTTTGAGGGTTTGTGACTCTGCAGACCGTTTACATGCAGAAAAAGCTACATAACAACAAGGGGACGGGTGATAACCGGAAAAGCATGACATGGGACCTTTAGGTTGCTGACACCCTCTTGCTGGTTCCTATTTAACTGGGGGAAATGTAGACGGGTCGATAAAATCCCTTTAACCACCTAAACTGTGTTTCCGATATGTTGAAAATATGTCTGAAACCAGAGCCCAGTCTGCTCTGATTGGTTCGCTGGCCGGCTCTGTTGTGATGACTTTTAGAGATGTCCCGCCCCTCAGCCTTTCACGTACAATGTAGAAATATGAGTGTGAGATAGTGATGTCATTATGTTATGAAAGTAAACAAAGGAGTCTAATGGAAGCGTTTTCAGGCAGGGGGGGAGGGAGAGAACCTCCTTCTGGAGGAAACAGGGATGTTAGCGTTTGCAGACCAATTACACGCACACTGTAACACACTACAGGAAAGGGAAAACCCAAAAAGCATGATAGGGCCGATTTAAAGGTTTGCATTATGAACATCTATGTTTACTTGCTAGCCATCTTACTTCAGTTAACAACAACAATCCATGCTTAATAAACTGATTTATTTGGCCATTTACTTACAAATAAATAGTGAAAAGTTCAAATGTAAAATGTGTAACTGTTCTCTCAGTCGTCATCATCCTCCTCCTCCGGGTCGTCTGTGTCGTCCTTCTCTTCCTGGGCGGCCTGCTCCTCCTCTAAAGCTTCCTTCAGCACCTGCTCCTCCTCCACGGACGGGTCCAGGGCCTCTGTGATCTCCGGTCCACTGGGATATTCTTTCTGTGGTAGTGGGGGGACGGCTTGGCTGAACCCTTCCCCTGAGTACTTCAGACCCCATCCAACGTAAATGTTCTCAAACTTCCTAAATGAAGAGACAGAGCATGGTAGTTCAGAATAGCAACATTGCCTTCAGGAAACCCAGAAAGTAGGGGGATTCAGATCTTTTGACTTACTTTCCGGAAGCGTATGAATATGCCCCTGGCCAGAGGTTAGAGCGCAGCACAGCTAGAGCGTGCTGAGAGGTGAGGACGGAGGACATCTTGGAGGTCCAGGGAGGAATGTTGAGCATTTCTGAGGGACACCAATATTAAAAATACTTTTATAAACTCATTAGGCAATGAGTAAAAGTAGTAATAACACAGTGTAATACTCTGCTACAAATAAAAGTACTGCATCCAAACTATTGCTTATTTAAAAGTAATGCCATCAAAATAAACTATATGTACCAAAACAAAAGTATTATGCAAAATGTTTTTTGTAAAAAGTGAAATATTTGCCCCAAACTTGCAGTTGAGTGGAAGTAGAAGTGGGTCTCATGGATATGAGCAGCATTCAGGGAATATAACCACCTGTGAGAAGTTAGTGTGGGAGAGGCGCTGAGTGGGTTGCTCTATTTAGTTCAGCTTTTTGATAACTGGATTATCAGGACCAAATGTTTGTGCACTTCATGATAAATTGAGCTTTTTCATTTTTGAGCTTTTTCATTCGATTTATTATTATTTATTTATAGTTCCAAACATTTTTGGATCAATAAATGTTTTGATGAATTGCGTCAACCTCAGCGGCTTATGTTGTTCCTTGAATGTTGGGTGCATTTTTCTAATGTCCCTGTGCATCTCTGTGTGAATATGCTCACCACAGAAACAACATTTGCTTCAAATAACAAGAGAGGACAGACGAGCAATGAAGAGGAATGATCTCGGAGGAACATCAGCTTCAAAGCTTGATAACCTGGTCCAAAGATATGTTTGGGCTAGAGGATACCTTTATGGATCAATGTGGCGTTGACGTGGGGGGACAGAGGAGAGGACATTGCCTAATGAGTTGAAGAGTACTGAGCAATGGAGATCGTGTATGGGTCGCTACCACTAATCTGATATATTGTGATTTATCATCTGGCCGGGGACAACAGCTGGAAACTAGCCACGTTGGCTAAAGCTGCCCCATTGACTGTTTTCTGTGACAGTTGATCAATGGGGACTGTCAGTGTCCATGACACTACGAGCTATTCAGAGGCCCCCAAACAAGAATATTCATAACAGAAGCAACATTTTCTATATTATTGATATCATTTAGCTTACCACCTGTTATCTGAAACCTTCTGTTTGCATGTGAGAATAGATGAGGAGGCTGCAGCCTGTGGTGCATTTACAGCAGCAGGGGAAGTAGCAGATCCCCAGTGAAAATGAAATCTCATTAGGTTTTGCAGAAAAATGTCCAAAGACAAACCTGCATCTTGGGAGAGGGGTGTGAGCAGAGGGGGTCCAACTTCTGGCTCAGGCTCATCAGGCTCCTCTTCCTTCTCCTCACCCTCTCCTTCCTCATTGGAGTCATCTTCTGGTTTCACAGCAAGGTTCACCCACGTACAGCAACCCTAAAGCAGTCCACACTCAGGCATTAAATACAGCTGAGAGAACGCTCCATCCACCTGCCTCCATCAGACCTACCTGCTGCAGGATGTGCTGAACATGATGCACCCAGGTGGACAGAGACTCTGCCATCTCAGCAACCGGAACACCCTCAAAGTCTGGATTCACTTCGAAGCTGTCCCGAGGGGCCTCGTCTTCCTCATCACCTTCCTCCTCCCCAGCCTGGTAGAAGCCCTGGGGGCTGACCTGAGTGCCGGCAGAGATCCGAGCGATCTGCGCTCTCAGGTAGTTGGCTTCGTTCCCGGGGAAAGGTGGGTAGCTGACTATGGGGGTGTCCAGCGTCCCTGTGAAGAACTTACGGATCTGACGAGCACCGGTGATCTGTGCGGGACTGACTGAAGGGAGCTTCACCCAGGGAAGACCGGGCTCTTTGCACACATAAAAAGCAAACTTGTTGGCACCTGTTCCTAGGGCCTCCTTTGGCACTGTTGGGGGGGGTCTATAGGCGGATTGAGGAAGTGGATTAATCTGAAAGCAAAGCCCCCCACAAGACCACAATAATTACAGATCAAGACGAAAGGATGGAGCTTATTTAGCATTTGCCACAAACAGTTAAAACAAGAGAAATCAGGAAAGATGAATAAACATACAGATGAATAAGAAAGAATGAAGAGGATCTGTTACATTGATTAAAAACGTTCCCCTTCCTCACCTCCTTCTCTACGTCTCTCTCCTCATCCTCTGCTGCTTCCTCCGTGCTCTCTTCCTCTTCCTCCCCCTCCCTGTACTCAGCTTCAGCCACGATGTAGCTGCTCTCTGTCCCCAGGATCTTGCCCCACAGTCGGCAGCGCGGCAGCCCCTGGCTCTCAACAAGCTGCTTGAGTGCGAGGAAGACCCTCTGCATCTCCTCTCTGCCCAGACCCACCCCAGCCTGCTCCAGGTAGAAGGCAACCTCACTCACATTAGGAAGAGGTGTGTCCATCTGTTGAAGAACAAGAAACAAGGTTCAAGATTACATTGATATATATTGTAGTATCATGTGCAAATGTTTTACTTTCTTATGTTATATAAATATGTTTATTTGATTTGATACAACTTTTGATTGCAGATTTTGTCTTAAACTTCTTATTAAGTTTATATACATATTTAATCTTTTATTGGACATTTTACTTTAACTTCCAATGTTTAAATAAATATTTGTATTTTATTATATTTTTTTATTGCACTTTTCTTTTTACTTCTTATGTTTATGCTAACTTTTTTTACTCTATTTTATTTGAATATTTTATTGGACATTTCACTTCCAATTCTCATGTTTAAAAAAAAAATATATATATATATACACTTTTAAATCTCTTGTATTTCAAAATGGTTGCGAATAGTTGTAATAATACACCTAAAACGCTTTTAGAAGGGTGCAGCATAGAATAATGGCTTCTTGGAGAAAAAACATCATGATTGTAAAAACATTTTAAATTGTTCTAAAATGTATGAATGTGTTGTTTACCTATATAAGATATTTGAGGTATGGAGGGCTTGTGAGCCAATAGTATGAGGAGATTAGCATCACATGGTATCTGTTTGTACTCAGCGATGAAAGGATATTGTTGATTTAACTGTGTGACCTTGGCTTGCAAAATGACTCATCCTACTATGGTGATGACATGACCCCCTCTGCTCCCCCTCCAAGCAATACATTTTTAAAGTAACCCTCCTAACCCTGAATGTGACACACGTGAGCCGAATTTCCCCTCAGAATCACCAGGACAAATGTACAGTGTGGTGCATGCAGTACCAGTTCCTCCTCCTGGTCAGCCTCCTCTGGCCGAGAGAAGAGCAGGCGCTGCTGCTCAGCCAGCAGCTCAGCAGCTGTGGTCTGAGGGAGGTCTCGCAGGGTGCTCTGCTTGTCTTCAAATAAACCCCGCTTCACTTCCCGGCTCACGTCCTCAATCACGTCCACCGCATTATCAGGGTGCTCATCCATCACCTTCATCAGCACCCGGCTGAGGTGGTCATACCTGTTACATTCAAATGAAAAAAGTCAGTGAAGGCTTCCTGTGCTTTTGAGAATCTCTTGGTTAAGTTCAGCAGCAATTCCATCACATCATGTAGAACAAAGTGAGCACTGGACAAGGATGTTATTCACAGAAGAAGCTATGTATATCTCCTAAATCTCTCTAAACCTTTGTCAGACTATTTTCACAGGATATAATCAATGGTTAAGATCAAATGACACTTACTGTATCTTACATTAGTTGTTACGAGGAACATTTGTGGTAAAAAACTAACTTTCTGCGAGTCAAAATCACGATCAAAGACTCCAATAAATTGAAGGGTCGCAGCATAAACTATGATGTCTTCATACCTCTATAAAAACACTTTAAATGGCATTGGGTTAAGATGAACACACTGAAAAAAGCAGACATTTCTGTTAATATACCAGATTTGATTGCATATAAAACATTAAATACATTTATGTTTGGTTTATCACATGGTTTATCAGTATATAATAGACCTACTTTAAACATATAACATTCATTTTAAACTATTAACATAAAACAATGACATTCTTAAATTAGTTGTGGCAAATATAAAATGCAGTGATAAATGCCAATGCTAAAATAACCTGTTTATACAATATTACAAGTTTAAGTGGAACCTTTTTATTTAATGCTATTTTTAAACAAGATACCGTGACCTTAATATATGATTTGTAATTTGATAACGTGAATAGCTGGGTTTGTAAAATGTACAATGTAATGCAGATATTCGTTATTAACCCTATTCTGTCCGCTCCCATCACTTGTACCCTACCAACCGAACAAGCTAGCTAAGTCACCGGCTAGCTAGCCACTAACACTAGTCTATCCCATAAACACGGTACTCACAGGTTCAGTTTGCTCTCGGTGCTGCTTTTCAACATGAAGCTCTTTAAGACGGCAGCTGACTTAAGTCTCTGCTCACTTTTGGCGTCGTTTCCATCCGTACTTTCCATTTTTCTTCTCCTCCGTGTGGTTCGGAACTTTTATCTTCAAAACACTGTCTGACTGTCAGACTAACGGTAGCTAAAAGACGTTGACACAGTGGAGTTAACTAGCTTAGCATTCACAACAATTTAACAGAGGAGACCCAAACTTGACTAGTTTCCATGGTTACTGTAACAGAGTGGTTGCCAAGCTCGCGCGCCACCTGGAGACTACCGGTAAGAAACAAATAATATGGGTGGTCATGATGTGGTCCAGGCAATTTGCTATCTTTTGCAATTTGATCTCGTTATTTTATTTGATCTTGTCCATTTACTGGATTTGACTATCATTTTTGTCCTCTTATATCTATCTCTATCCTTAGACCCTGATCTGATGTAATCCTCATACTTTTATTTATTTAGTCTTGTGACTGCTAGTAAATGAAGGACATTATAAATAAATCTCTGTGCCTTATGCGTCAAATGTATATATATATATATATATATATATATAACAGTTGTTACTGATATTATTACCATGCACTAGTGACCATTTCCTTCTTTTCTTTTATGTATGTTTTTGTGGCTATTGTTTGTATCACCCTCGCTGTTGTGGGTGGGGGGGAGGGTATGTGTGTTGTTTGTAGCCTACTGTGATGTAATAAAATGCAAAATCTGAATAAAATTATATATTAGAAAAAAAGTGTCGCTATGCCTGCAAAAAAAAAAAACAATATAAATAAAATATAAAATATTACACAAAATTGAAGTTGGTATCTCTATACATTTGTATGGTTAAGTCATAATAGGTTATTAAAGCTAAATTCAGCTGAAGGGATTTATTTGATCATTTCCGGTTTTCATTTCATTGTGTGAATTCAACATAAAGAACAGATTAGTTTGTATATTAAGAATGGATAACCATAAACTTGACACCATGATGTTACTTAAATTGATTGATGCAAATTGATGTGAATTAAAGTGGATCATGCCAGATAAATACATGTCCCAACATGTACAGTCTATACAGTCTATGGTCCCAACCTGTAAATCCACCCTGTATCAGGTGTTTTCTTTAAAGTGTCTCTAATCATACAAAAACTGGGACAATACAATCAGTCAGCCCAGGTAAAAAAAGGCATACATTTACAGATCACATAAAAATACCCATATACCTTTGTGCTCAGAGAACTTGCTCTATAGGCTGAAGAGATACATTCACAGGACTATAAATACATGTATAAAGCATTGTGTTTATTTTACATACATTACACACTTGGATAAAGTCAAAAATCCAAACCTGTTTTCTACAGCTATTTAGTAACCAAGCAACCATGAGAGATTTAGGTTTCACTCAAATGTTTCACCATTAGTCTCTGGAGCAGATTCCAGTTTGGGATGATGTTCCCCTGCAATGAGAGATGTGTACTTCCCAACAAACTGCAAATCCACAGTAGAAAGAGGATAGATCTTTGTCTTGTGATAAATAATCCAAGCAGAATGCACTGACAGGAGGCCTGGGTCAGAACCAATGTCCACACTTACACATGCAGTCCATACTGATCACAAAAAGCTCCCAGATAAAACAATATGAGCAAAGTGGAGGTGCAAATGATGGTGCGGACATGTATGCTGTGGCATCTTGAAGGGGGGGAAACAAAGAGTGCTCTCTCCTCATCGTTACCATACACAGCTCAAAGTGACAGCACCAACTCTGGATGCTCTCAGTTCCATACTTTGTACTGTAAAGCTTCCTCCCACAGGATCCTATCGTTTTATTGATGCAGCCCTGAGATGTCCAGCTGTCTCTGCTGTACAAGGCAATACAATAGAGTGGTGCAGTAATGAGTCCAAAACCCTGGAAATGAGTCGGCATTATACCACTTCCAGTTCACTCATCTAAAAGTCAGAGGTGTTTTGCATGTGTTTTTGATTAGATGCCTGAAACAAGGCCAGCAGTAAATACAAGCTTCAGTGTTTAATCTACAACATAAAATACGTCAGTAAGTATTCAACTGGTGAACCTCTGAAGCTTCTACGTGTCATCAAAAATCTGCAGTTGCTAACAAGCAACTAAATGATATAAGTTAACATCATCATGCTAACATTAGCCACCTTTAGCTTACCAGGGTTTGTGGATAGTCATGAGCCCCTGATATATAATGTTAGTTTCTTTGTTTCTGTACTTCGCAATAACACTTCAAAACACGTCAAAGTTGTGTAAAGTGTGGAGATTATCCTGCTGAACAAAATGTGTAAGTATCATATATGTGTGTGTGTGCAACTGATCTTATTTTCTGCAATATTCCCAAATCCAAAAATTGCTCCCATAAGGTAGCCCTTGCGATGCTAACTTCGACCTCAGCCAACATAAATCACATCATCACTGCACCACTCTAGTACAGACAGCATTCACTTGTTAAATAAGCAATTTCAGTAAAACACATTTTTTAAGCAACATATAACTTTTAACCCTGTAACCTGACCAGTTCATCTGCATACTGGAACTGCCCACTGTTTTCATACTCCAGCATATCCAGAGCCACCTCGCAGCTCTCCTTCACCACACGTTCTCCGTCACCACGGAACTGCTGCAGCACGGCCAGACACTCCTCTTTGCCGATGGAGCCGAGAGCCTCTGCCGCCTCGTGACGGACCATGGGGCTCTCCCCGGAGCGCTCCAGAGCCGCACGCAGGGCCGGGACCCCCGCCGGGTGCTGCATCTGACCCAGCACATAGCCGATCTCATGACGGAACAAAGCGCTGGAGCACTGCAGGCCTGGACACAGAGACGTTCAAAGTAAAGGTTACTGCTGGAGAGGATGGGGCCACTGTAAGGCAGATCATACACACATATTCTGGGGCTGCCGAGTTCTTAAACCCTTATGGGATGTCTAAATAACATATACTTTATTGAGCCCAAATTATTTACATTACGTTTGCAAGGAAAAGCATAACAATTAAATGTGAATGTAAAATCTAGTGTGTGAAGAAAAGTCCAGTTATAAGTTATAAGTCCAGTTAACAATCAGAGAAGTTCTAAGTTATGATATAAATGTCACCGGTGTCTCCTTTTACCTGGGGAATATGGGGTTACCAAAAAATAAACAATATATATTTTGTATCTTTATGACAGCTAATAACCATAACAAGGCGGTGGATCTGTAAGCAGTCTCTCACTATCGACCAATGGGTAGTCATAATTATGAAGTATGACTGTTAGTTTAAGACTGGAAAAAGACAAAGGTGGCCCTCTGGAAAGATGGGACAGGGCTGCACGATTTGGGAAAATAATCTAATTGCGATTTTTCTGACAGATATTGCGATTCAATTTGCGATATTTGTTTTTAAGCGACCCAACGGAAGTTTATTGAAAAATGCGGCCATATCTCCGGCTAGGAACGTCGCATCAACGCGCTCCCGTCTAGACGGGGGCAGCACGAGCTACGAGTGAAAGAACTAAACTTACATGAAACTTCCGTTGGGTTGCTTTAAAGTCAAGCTTCAGTTTAAGATTCACCCTGTAATAGATGTGAAACATGTGATGGAGCATTACTAACCTGACTCAGATGGTTTGTTTCACCAAACCATCTAAAGCTCCATTGGAAGCCATTTGGAAAAGTATTTCAAAAATACTTGGCAGGTGATTGGATCAATCTGTCTATCACCTTCTATCATGGGCCACTTCTGATTAGTTAACAATGGCTGGTACATGTGGAGCACAGCACTTCTGATTGGTGACACACAAGAAGAAAAAAAAAACAAAAAACAAAAAAATGTAAAACTTAAAAAAATCACAGGCTTTGCGATTTGATAATTGCATAATTTCAAATCGCGATTTCGATTTAAAATTGATTAATCGTTCAGCCCTGGACACATACCTCACAAAAGGGTAATGTTATGATATATTTTGGTTAAGGAAAACAGTGATTGCTCCATAATATTGTCTGATATCCTACTCGTGACCCATTGGTTGTAGCCGTGTTTTAAAATTGTTCGGTTTTTATTTTTAATTGTTTCTTTGTAGTTGTATTTACTTTTTTCTGTTTCCTTCTAGCTTAACTAGAGCAGTGTTTCTCAAACTTTTTTCAGTAATGTACCCCCTTTGAAACATTTTCTCAGCCAAGTACCCCCTGACCGATCCCGAACATTTTTGATCGAAAAAGCCTATATAAATAATTACAATATAGTGATGTTCCCTCAGTGCGTGATGTATTAACTCCTTCGTGGTATGCATTACAACAAACTAAGGATATTTCCATTTTATGCATGAAAAAAAATAACATAACACTTTTATAAAACAGATTTTTCCAAGGAGTTTCTCAATTTAAGTAATATGTTATTGTGAAAAACTATAAAATACAATACACACATTTGACATATTTATATGAGGACCCCCTTTTTTTCTTTTTTTTATCTCACGTACCCCCTGCAGTACCCCAACGTACCCCCAGGGGTCCGTGTACCCCCATTTGAGAATAACTGAACTAGAGGGTTATGCACCCTATGTGTGTTACTTTGATATATTGTATGCAACTTTATTCACCACAAGTGTATTTGCTACTGATGTACTTATTCATTGCTACAGTACTGTTTGTATTCTATTTTTTGTCAAATCTGGAAATAAAAATAGAGTTACAAAAAGAAAAAATCAGTCAGGCGAGACAAACACTGCAGAGAAACTACATATTATTAAATGACTAAAACAGCTATGTTATAAACATTGATGTGTAGATTAAACAGGAAGTGGTAGTATTGTTTCCTACCGTCTCCCAGTGCCAGCACAGCCTCCTCGTCGCCAAGATTACGCAGTGCGAACATGGCACGGTAGCGTTCAAAGAGTGGCTGAGTCTCATCCAACAGGGCGATGCGCAGCTCTGACACACTCTTCCTCTCTGCCGGGGGGGCGGGGTCCACAGAGCAGTAGGGGTTCTCATCTGTGCTCCCATCATCCAGCTGCTTCTCTCCTCTGGTCTGCAGCCACTCCAGACGACGCACAGCCAGCTGACACGTCTCTGCTACCTGCATTTACAATAAGACTCACTCTTATTCCTTCATACATTAGCTTTGATTGACATGTGTGTACTGTTTCAGGGACAAGAAACTCAAGCAACACACATGGAAATGGAGGATTAGAGTGAATTAATTCCTTGTTTAGCTCACATTAAATGAAATATCATATAATTTAAATAACTCCAGCAATGAAACAGCCTTGATTCTTGTCTTCCAATGCATATTTAATTGTGACCCTAAAATTAGGGAAATCATCTAGTGTTTTTAGTATTTATTCGCCTAATAGCAGTGCCTTGCTAGTAACAGGATACCCGTTATATCTCTCACAGGCTCCGCCCTCTACTGGACTCTATGGGTACTACCTTATCATGCAAGCATTCACCTACTGAGATTTCTATAGACGTAGCTGATAATATGGTTATCTACCTGAATGCGCGCGCATCTCACTTCCGTATAAAAGGAGGCCCCGCCTCCTGACCATCATCCTTTACTCTTCAGCGAGCGGAGGTGATACTAGCACTGAGTCTGAGACGTTTTAAGGAGAAAGGAAAGAGAAAAGTATTATCGAAATGGAGCCACTCCTGGAGCATCGAAACTGCCCGTCGTGCCAGTGTTTCCAGTGCCTGGGGCAGGACCATGCCGAGCAGGCCTGCGTTGCCTGTCGCTCGATCCCGATGCTGAATCGCCGGCATCGTGCGGCGCACTTCTGGAGGAAGATCGGCCCGCAGATGATCCGGACCTCGAGGTGGTATAAATGGACGATCTGGAGGACGTGCCATTTGAGTTCACTCTGCCGAGGGACCGCGTGGTCGACTTTGCGGAGGGGGAAGATGACGACATCTCCTTGTCCGACACCCCCGGATCCGATGGCCAGGAGGGTCCAGCACTCAGGTCTGCGCGACTGGACTTCCCAGCGGTGATGACCCAGGCGGCGGAGCGTGTAGGCCTACCGCTCCCCCCACCGCTGCCACGGAGGCCTATAAGCCACCTTAGGCAGGGGTTTTATGGCCCGGTGTTTCCGGCGCCGTCCATTGAAGGCGAAGGCCTCCATAGCATCCATGTCGGGCATTATCAGGGTGCAGGGCAGATCAGACACGGTGTGTCCTGGCGTGCCCCTCCTCGATGAGAGCTTGGCGGCCCATCTGTTGCCGCGATCAGCTGGTTGGGCGGAGGGGAAGACCCCGCTGCCGCGGGACCGAGAGGCCCTGGAATATTTAGATAAAATGTTCAGGCTCGGTGCACAGATGGCGGCTGCGGCCAATAATCTTGGTGTGTTGGGCGTCTCCATGATTACTCCTCAAGCAGACGGACCGCTGCATAGGTCAGATGAACAATCTGATCCATGGAGTGGCCGCCGCAGCCGGGCGGGTGATGTCCTTGGCTACAGTAGCGTCACGTCATGTGTGGCTGGGACTCACCGCGCTGTCAGTGGGCATCAGACCCCCTCCCCGGGCGTATATGCGCTTACATTTCTCCGGAGAAATGTAAGCGCATTTACGGTGACGTAATACGCTCTGGGCCCTTACAGGGCTGGAGGGCTCCCCTCGCCTGCCTGGGGGCAGGAGGGGGAGATCCCTCCATACTATAGTCCATACACACTCTACACGGGGTCAGTGTCTTAGGGGGCACTTGCGTTCTCCCCGTGTTCTTTAGGGACTCAGAGGAGAGGGTGCATATTGAACCCATACAGGGCTGCGGGCTTTCCCTGTCTGCCTATAGGCGGACGCAGGGTAGCCCTCAGCACTGTTTTTCGAGCACACTTTTTTGCGTGGCAAGCTTGTCAGGGTGTGCTCTATCGGCCGCAGCCCGGACTTCTCCACGGTTACAACCGAGGGAGAGGTGAGTGAGGCGCAGTGGCTGCTAAAGCCGGTCAGGGATAGTGAGGTGGAACGGTGTGTTGGACGACAGTGCGTGCATACATCGTGGCTCCGCCCACTGTACCCATAGAGTCCAGTAGAGGGCGGAGCCTGTGAGAGATATAACGTTGGGTTACGTATTGTAACCCTTGTTATATTAATACAGGCAGAGCCCTCTACCCTGGGGCACTGTCTGTCCTATAACGCTCGCTGAAGAGTGGTGTAGGATGATGGTCAGGAGGCGGGGCCTCCTTTTATACGGAAGTGAGATGCGCACGCATTCAGGTAGGCCCACCCCGGGGCCGGCTACGTCTATAGAAATCTCAGTAGGTGAATGCTTGCATGATAAGGTAGAACCCATAGAGTCCTGTAGAGGCTCCGCCTGTGTTAATATAACAAGGGTTACAATACGTAACCCGGCGTTTTGTTCTTACCTCTATGACGGGATCCTGACTGTACTCTTTCAGTAAGTCAAGAACCACAAGATCACCAATTGCCCCCAGAGCCTCTCCTAGGGACAGACAGACACACAGAGTTCTAATTAGGGCTGTGCAATTTAATCGATCCTGCGATATATATCGATATTTAGTTTTCCGAGAAAGTATCGATACATTAAGTCTGATAACGGTGTTCGTTATTCTCGCGTCCAGGAGAGAAGCTTTAAAAAGGAGACTGATTGAGTCTCTGAGAAGGTTCAAATGTATACTTTAATTAATAAAAAGCGCGGTAATGTTACAAGCAGAAGATGGTTCAGTCAGAAAAACAGCTGTGTTCTGGCTCTCGTGAGCGAAGGGAAGAAAGCAAGCTCCACCTTTCCAGCTGTTAAATATCCTCTGTATGCCGGTTGGCGCTGCTGGGGGCCGGCCCTCCACGTCTCCAATGTTCGTTGTTGCGCATTACAGAGGATTCAGACATTGTACATTAAATATATAACTAAACACGCCTTTTCTCCTCCTTATCTCTTTCATGACTTTTCATTTAATACATTTTAAACGCTGTAATCAATACTCCAAAAATACTTCACGGCTGGTATCATTTCCGGTAGTTCCGGATGTTGTCACATGCTACCCACGTCTGTAAACAAACGTATTCAAATAAACTGTACCTTCATTTAATATTCAGCAATAATAATATCTCGACGTCTATAGTTGTAGTGTTGAAATCAGTAGGTTTCGGTGTGCAACACTCCGTGTCATATCGCTACTAAATTCACCTCTATAGTAAATGGTATATTAGCCACATGCTAAATGCTAACCGGAGATGAAGGATTTTCAGAATAAAAGCTTAACAACTGGTTGTGCACAAGAACTTCTGGTTTTTCAGTATAAAACAACATTTAAACTGACGGTATGTTTAAGGTACTTTATGCCATCAAAACATTGATTTTGAAGTCCCATTCAAATCCCCCGTGTTCCGCCACCTGCTGCACCTTTTAATTCTCCATTGTCCATTGTGATACTGCACTTTATGTACTTACGTTTCAAAGGCTTGTAAGCTACAGTTTGCACTGTTTCAATAAATGAAACACATTTTCTCACCACATCTTTTGATTCATTTTGTCCAGCATTGGCAAGCTGTAGACTCTCTGTCAGAGCCATATATTGTATAATTGATGCTTTCAGTTTTCAGTTGAATTAATTCAATCCAAGTCAATGGAACACTCAAGATGTCACCAAAATCACACTGTCCCTTTAAAATCTTTCAGAAAATGATATAAGTGTATCGAATTATATCGAATCGTATCGAATCGTTGGCTGAATATCGTGATATATATCGTATTGTGAGCTGAATATCGTGTATTGTATCGTGAGATTAGTGTATCGCTACAGCCCTAGTTCTAATGCAGCTCAAGCAGTTGTATGTCTATTACTAACAGCAAATACATGTATTATTTTCTTCATACTGTGATCATCTGAACATTTTCTGTTGCTGAAAAGGCTGTTTGTCTTGTTTCCGTAAAGATTTTAAGTTGAAGATACTTAGTACTGTAGTAAAGTGCACATTTGTGTGTGCATTTTTTTTTTAAAGCGCATATCTAGATCACGAAAATCTAAAATAAATGTGTTTTTTAGCATGTTTTGGACTTTGGTATTTATGAAATCCTGGGTGCGGCCATGCTTGTGTTTGTGCATTATGACTAATGAATCACAAGCATGCACACACATTCATCTGTGAGGCGGGGTAAGAGAATAGCACAGAGCATGACAGTGTGTGTGTGTGTGTTTACCTGCTTCATGCCTGACCATGGGATCCTGCTGTGTGTCTTTGAGTACTGCAGTGAGGGAGGGGATGGCGCTCGTGTCCTGCATCTGTCCCAGGCAGTACGCCAGCTCGTGCTTCAGCAGGGCCGACTCATCACTGAAGGCCTTACTGATCCACTGCACAGCCTCAGCACCTGACACACAGGACCAGACATTACACTCGCTACTAATTTGAAGTGCCCATCCTAAACACTTTTGATAGTGTTTGTACAGTAATTCATACACATAATTGATATATGGAAATATTAACCTATCTGTTGGCACAACATAACATGAAAGGGGACACAATTAGCTATACATGAGAGCAGGATTATATAGAACAATACAAATTATGTGTGTGTCATGTTTTGGGTTCCTGGGTCATTTTATTTATTTGAAAAGTTGAAGAGAACTGGAATTTTTCCATTCATTTAGTAATGTGATAATTTGTTGTGTGAGCTGGTATTGGCATCTCATAATACTCTCATGTCTTTTATGTGTATTTGAAAAAAAGTACGAGAGTTAATGGTGAGCAACAGAGGGTAGATGTGTGTGTGCTAAGGCTATAATGATGTTGCTCTAATGTTCCAGTCATTAGGCAGGGTGAAACACACGGTTCTCTCTGACTTCCCCTCAGGGAAACACAAGTAATAATGTTTCCCTCAGCAATTCCAAAGGCTGTTAGACCTAAAGGCCTCTTTGGGCACTTGTCTCGCTGTTATTCGTGCTAAAGTTTTTAATTGTTAATGCAATTTCTTCTCTTTGACTACTTAACATGTTCTTGGGTGTTTGTATGTTTGGTGGACATGTGGTACCTCCCAGGTTCCTCAGGGTGAATAAGGCTCTGAAGCGGCGGGTCAGGCCCACTGCTGGGTCCACCAGAACCTGACCTACTGCGGTCACCGTCTCCACACTGGTCATACTGCGACACAGGGTTTCTGATGGAAAGGAAAGAAGTTCATTTAGCCGCTTATTCTTATTTTCACCACTTATATACAAACATACAACATATATCTATTCTCTCTTAAGTACAAGGTCTGAGTACTTCTTCCACCTCTGCTTATTTAGAACTAAGCCTTAGTGCATCTTTAAATATCACTCAAATAAAATACTGTACATACCCATCAATTGGTTGTTGCTCAATGGGAGAGGTCCCTATGTTTGGCTGCACTTACTGTGTATCTGCCATATTCTGTCTATATGGACTGCCCATAGACAGAATGTATGGAGGTATCTGCTGGTGTCCCCCCGGCTGACATAACATATGGGCTGCCAGCCACGTTTCAGGCAAAACCAGTTGTGTTATAAAAGGCTGACCGGACAGAAGCTAACTGTTAGCTTCATGAGTTAGGTAACCTTCACATAAACATTGTATACAAGTAGCTATACAACAAATAATTCACAAATAATATCCGCATTGTGGAACGTTACTTACCTCCACAGTCAAGAGTAGATTTTAGAAACAGCTACACCCGCCTGAGACACACCGCTGATGTTGCTGCCGCACGCTTACTGCAACTTCCGCTAAAAGGCACGTACATCCGGGAGACTGTTTTTCAGAATAAAAGTGTTTAACTCACCAACTTTACTTAAAATAAAACACACAACACATATTTTTAAGAGTAATAGTAAAATCAAAATATATAGAGGAAAGTTGTATCAAAATATTTTGTTGTCATTTTTCCAGCCAGCATGAGATACAAAATGTCATGTTTTAGAGTAGACGACAATTAAACCAAAAAGTGACATATTGAAAACAATCCACTAATGTAAGCATAATTTGTTATTTCTTTGTTGTAACAATGCTTCTTGGATATACATCTTATTGGAAAGCCTGTTTATTTACCTTTCAAATGGTGCCATATTTCTGAGGAACATGCATTTTTGGGATGACATATATTATATATATATATTTATTTGTATCATCTTGTGTATGTATATTGTCTGGATATTTCGTGCAGATATACATTTATTATACTTTGTTTTGGTAATACCGCTTTTATTATGAAAGAATATGTGGCGGAAGTGTTCTTCGTGTTGCTGGCGGGGCTCTAGCTTGACTGTGGTCCTCTGAGCGGCAGCGTGCACCGGTCGGATGAGAGGGGGAGAGGAGACAGCTGGATGTGGGATTTAACTGAGACACCTTATCCGTCTCACAGCGCGGTACTGTCGGCCTGCAGATCAGCGGCCTGCCTGCTCACCGACCTGTGGTTCTTCCACGCCCCCCCCCCATCACCCATCCTTGATGTTCTGCTGTCCTTCTTCCTCCAGCGGTTCTTCTGTTCTTAGGATGCGACGGGCCCGCGCTGCTCGTCACAGTGAGGAAACATCCTTCAGCCGCTGTTCTGCCTCCCGGTGCCTGGCTCCTCTTCAACAGATAGATGGGGTCATCGGGAATATTTAGTCTGGGTTAGAAGATTTAGAAGGCGTCGTGCAGCCGGGCAGGCATCACTGTGGGAGTGTCCTCCATCCTCCATAAGGTATGAAACAACAACAACACGTCTGCTCCTGAGGCTGCTGCAGGCTGGATCACATCTGTTTTCCTGCTGTTGTGTGATGTGGCCTGCAGCACAGTGGACATTGTGTCTCACAGAGCAGGAGACACATGGCTCCATTGTTGGCTGCTGTCAGTCCATCTGTCACGCACTGTCTGCTGTGCTTAACGTCTTCCATGCTGCACCGAGCCTGGCTACATTGTATCAAATGTCTTCAAAATAGATTGCCAAGAATATAAACAATATGTGTCATCATTGCTTAATTGAATTTTAAATTCAAATACATTGAAACCACATTTAACACTCAATTGCTAATTGATAAGGTATACCTGCACATTCTCATACAGCCTTGCCAAAGCATTTCAGAGTTTGAAATATTAATTTCTGTTGGAAAGGTGAAGATGTAAATGTAATAAATCATGAGCTTATTTTTGAATGGTTGGGTTGTACTGAACTATATTGTATTGAGAGGTGCTTATCATTTGTTATCCTACTTCCATACGTTATATCATCATCAAATATCATTTGGTAACCATAACTAGGTAATCACTAAACTCGTGGATACAAGTCAACATCAACGGCCTAATACAAGTACTTTATGGCTGAACTGATGGGGGGCTTGAGACTTTACAGGTGTACCTAATAAAGTATATTTAACAGGCCCTATCATGCTTTTTGGGGTTTTCCCGTGGTATAGTTTTTACCCACACACTCCCCCTCTGCCTGAAACGCTGCCATTAGACTCATTTGTTTACTTCTGCGACAAAGTGACATCATTATTTAACACTCACGCTTCTATTGGCTAGCGCTCCAACACATTGTACGTGATTGTGGCGGGACTTCTCTACGTGGTTGACCAATCACAACAGAGCCAGCGAGCTAACCAATCAGAGCAGACTGGGCTCTGGTTTCAGACAGAGGGTGAAAAGACATGTCACAGTAGAGGCACACAATACAAATATGAACCTGAAAATGAGCAAAACAGGGCTCCTTGGACATGCAAGTAAATTGATGATACAATAAGAAAAGTATGAATGAAGAACTAATGAATAAATACATACATTTCCCTTTCTTACTTTCTCATGCAAACGTGTTCATATAATTAGGCTGCCTTTGTATTCAAGATATGCACGTTTTATATTTCTAGTGGCTTAGTATAACATCAAATATATATTTCTGTTTTATTTTCATTTATTTATTTCCTGGATGGCTTTTTTGTAAGGGCGTCCTGTTATATTTGTATATCCTGTTATGATTGACAGCTGCACTTCAGTTGAAGTCAGATATTAGAAGTAAGGGAACTCAACTGAATAGTATCCCTAAAACCTGATTTGATAGAGACATGTTTCTCCATTAAAACAGAGGAAGGCCTTGATGATGGATGCTTGTATCCATCGTCAATACCTCTTGCCTCATGGTTCCTATGGCAACAGTCATTCACAGACAGAGACACATATCCAAAAGAGCTTTAATCTGCAGCCGTGTCACAACGAGTGTTTAATCCCTGTAGAGCTGCTGTTACCACACACTTCACTTGATAGGATTCATTCTTTCAGTCAAGTGTTTACTCAAATCAAACAGCAGCGTTACTGTGGCACAAACACATCTGGATTTGTATTATTTATTTAGAGTCTTTTTGTACAGGCAAGAGAACAAATACATTGAAGCGGCCCTATTCTGCTTATTGTCAGGTATCATAATTGTATGGATGTGTCTCCATGCTTTAATGTTCAAAAAGCTCTTCATTGTTCTCATACTGCCTCCTGAGCTGCAGCACCTCTTTTCACCCTCTGTCTGAAACCAGAGCCCAGTCAGATGATCAGACAGGTTAGACACACACTTCCTGCAGGTTTGTGTGTCTGCTTGTTTTGACTGAAACCCTAATAGACCTGTGAACGTATTTATTCAAACCCCCTTTGAGGGAAAAGGATAGGAAATATAAGGTAGCTTTTCACAATATGGACTCCATGCTGCTGTGTTGTTATACCTGACATGAGCAGATCCAGGTTCAGTGGCTAGAAGTCCATTCAATCGGATTCTCTTCCACGGTGAACATTTGATTTATAAAGTCTGTTTGAACCGAGGTGCATGTTTTAAAGGGCTGCTTCCAATTCTTTCATTCCTGCTAGATCTCATAACTTTTTTAATATTACTGAGCCCATTATCATTAGCATATTATGACATGTCTTTTTCATTCTGTAATATCCTCGAGATAATTGCACAGAGATGCCCTTCCATACTTCTGAAAAGGGACTGTGCAGGAAAGCTGGATGCCTCTGTATGAAACGAGACAAACAGCCTTTTTCTAAAAGCTACAATGTGCAACACAAAGCAGAAACACTTACCACCAGAGGTTTTGATCAAGGGAGACAGCTGGGTCATTTGAGCAGGCTGTAGAAGGATAGCACTGGGTCTCTGTAGCCCACTGATACTGTTGAGTTATAATAATACATCTATACTGTCCATTATCCATAATATTAGCATGGACACATGCTAGAAGATAAAGAACGTTGACGTGTTGTGCACATGCATACACCTGTATTGTATGTGTATACAAATTGTAGGTTGTCACTGCATGGCTTTCGTTTTTTGAATGTCTTTGGCCCAGAATTCCTTTGTTTGTTGGTCACATTCTGTGCATAAACAAAAACCAAACACTTGTGATTGTGATGGGACGAATATTTGACATCAAAATAAAGGTTTCTCTTTTTTTTTTACTGTGTATGTATTGACTTAGTTTGTCTATACATGTACTCTGCAAAACAAACTCATTAACATACAGTCAATAAAACAAGACAAAAACAACGTGCCTTTTTGTATCCCCTAAATCCAAAATCAGTTTTTTTTCTTTTAAGTGAATTTCTAATGAGCTCAACCATATCTGTATTTCTTGTTTAGTATCAGCTGACATAAAGTAATAAACAAATATCAGCTTTGAACAAAGATTAAACACAGATAACACAGAATTGTATTATTTGGCATTATCAAATCAACATCATATGTCTCATCAAACTCCAGCGTAAGGCCCTCCCATAGAGGACACTAGTAAATGCCTACAGGAGCCTTAGGATTCAAACACAAAACATCCAACCAACGTGTAGTGGCAGATCTGTTGTTAGAGTTTGTCTCTTCGTAGTGAATTCAACTTGTGCTATATATTTGATTTGACTCCATGTAAAGCTGACCTGTGTTCTCTCCAGCCCCCCCTCCCTCTGTGGCAGTGATGGCGGTGTTCCCTCTGCTTCCTCTCTGCGTGCTGCTCCTCTCCCTCCACACTCTGGGTGGAGCGTCTCCTTCCTGTCCTGTGAGCTGCCGCTGCTACAGCCTCACAGTGGAGTGTGGCTCCACCAGCCTGAGGGACATCCCCAAACACGTCCCCCCCTCCACACAGGTAGCTGCACCCACTCAGGGAGGACGCTACTGCTGCGTTACATCCACACACAGTTCACCATCAAGTCTTAATTCTTTGGAACATTCTCAACTTCTCTCTCCTTGATCACTTTCCCAGAAATGGAAACGGAATGTCAAACAGTTCATTAAAGTAGATATATGAATAAGACTAATACATCTTCTGCTCACATTTGTCTTCTTCTGAATTACAACATTCAATACAAAGTACATCTGACCATAACCAAGCTCTACAAATAAAGATACATATTCAGAAGCCATCGATTATTATGAAGGAAATGAGGAAGCAAAATGAGGTTTTAGGATAAACCCTAACTCTCCCTCCGTCTCTCTTCCTCTTCCAGACCATCTTCCTGCAGGACAATGTGATTGGTCAGATCCGTCGTCAGGACCTGACTCTGTTGAAACACCTGCACTACCTGTACCTGCAGGTAACACACACACACACACACACACACACACACACACACACACACACACACACACACACACACACACACACACACACACACACACACACACACACACACACACACACACACACACACACACACACATTGATTTATAGTAATTGACAGGTAATGAAAAGCATTTCCCATTTTTCAATCAGGCATTTGTGAAAGCCTCAGGGCGTCTGTTTTTATTTGTCCCTAACACTGGGTTACACTCCGTGGAGTTGAGATGGAAAAAACAAACAAATAAAGTTCCAGTCAGTATTTTACTGTGGGTGATTTGGGTTATTCTAACCAATTGGGATAAAAAGTAGATCCGTGTCCAGGCAGGAACAGGAGAAGCAAAGGAGAAAAGGCACACGTTTTATTTTACCCAGCAGCATCAAACATTATGGTCTGGCTCCTCTTCCTTCAGAACAACAGCATCTCAGCAGTGGAGCCTGGCTCTTTCCAGAACCAGGGTCAGCTGTTGGAGCTGGCTCTGAACGGGAACCGGGTCCACCTGGTAACAGCTGACATGTTCCAGGGACTCGAACATCTGCGCATTCTTTACCTGGCAGGAAATGACATCACACGCCTGCTGGACTACACCTTCCGTGGTTTACAGGTGAGGCACGTGTGTTATGTTCATTACATTTGACTTGAACTTCATTTAAAGCTATGCAAGATGCCCGTCTCGGCTCATGACACTATGAGGCTCAGCTGATACGTAGAGTTCCTCCATGTCTCCGCAGCGCCTGCAGGAGCTCCACCTGCAGCACAACAGCATCGAGATGTTAGCGGAGCAGGCTCTGGTCGGGCTCAGCTCTCTGGCTCTGCTGGACCTGAGCAGGAATAACCTCCACACCATCGGCCCCGCCACCCTCAGACCTCTGGTCAGCCTGCAGGTGCTGCGCATCACAGGTGAGCACCACACACAGGAACAGCAAATTCATGTGTTTTTCTTTATGTTTCTTTGACAACGATATCTGGACAGCATTCTATTGCTTTTGCTCAACAGACTAGCTCAGCCTTTAGTCTTTTTTATATATATATATATATTTGGGCTAATTTGGTTGACATTTTCTTTGATTGAACACCAACCGGAAGATGTTTGCTCTCACACTTTACCGCTCAATCTGCCAGGCCGTAGAGCAAAGAGGGCAATCCACGTACGGAGATAAAAGTTCAACACTCACCGGCAGCGACATTCAGAGTCCGCTTGAGTGATATGCTCAAATAAGTGGGCTTTTAGGTCTTCTTATGCTTGTTAGTGTTCTTAAGAGAGGGCCAAAACCAAGCTTCTCCTCCAATTTCTACTGTGATGTCACCGGTGCTTTTCTGAAAAGGTAAAAGTTGAGTTGCTCTGAGCACCAGAACAGCAGAACACTCAGAAAGAAGCACGCTGGGTGAAGTGCTTTTTCTCGAGGCAACTGCGTACGATGGCATGCAATCTCTCCTCATTGAAAACAAATGCAAAAACACGCTGGTGCTCGTGAAAAAGGCTCTATGTGGAAACAGCTCCTTGCAGTCAATGCATTTCTCTATGTCAGTGCAGTTTTCCGAAGATCAAATACACACGCTTGTTCAGTTCACTGAACGTTAACTCATCGTCTTCCAGTTCTCTGATATGTCTCCCACCCCCTCCAGAGACTAGCAGCTGTCCTGCCCCCCCCCCTGACCCCCTGTCCTCTGCTCCGCTGTAGACAACCCGTGGCGCTGTGACTGCGCTCTGCACTGGCTGAGGAGCTGGATCGATGAGGAGGGTCAGCGGCTGCTCAGCTCTGCAGAGCGGCGCCTGGTGTGCACCGAGCCCCCCCGCCTCTCCCACCTCAGCCTGGTGGAGGTCCCCCTCAACAGCCTGGTGTGTATCCCCCCTCTGGTGCAGCTGGAGCCCAGGAGGCTAGCTGTGCGCCTGGGAGAGAGCCTCAGGGTGTCCTGCCACGCCTCGGGGTATCCTCGGCCTCAGGTAGGGAGACTTTGAGGAGACTGTGTAACCCCTTACTCGTAACTCACTGTCAGACAGACATAAGAGCAGAAAGTACATTTCCTCAAGTATTGTACTTAAGTGCACATTTGAGGAACTTGAGTATTTATTTTCCCTGCTTATTTATACTTTTACTCAACGACAATTAAAAGAAAACATTTTGTACTCTTTACTTAAAGGTGGGGTAGGTCATTTTGGAGAAACCAGCTTGAGTGAGCTAGAATTAGAAAATACACAGCCGGAACAAATCTGCTACTTCCTCACAGAGCCCCTCCTCCAACACACACGAACGTGCACATGACCAATGAGGGCACGAGATAAGTTTGTGCACAGATGGAAGGCTGACAGGCAGGTAGGCCATCCAGTTATTTTAGCCGGGCCGGCTCAGATGATTGGTCGTGCTTTTTACAGCGCTACGGCTTCCACAGATGAATGTTTGTATGGATTTTTTGTCAAAGCACTTCAGATATTCATTGCTATCGGGATGTTAAGAGCATTCCATGGAATATAACAAAAAGTGTATCTCGAGCCGGTTTCTCAAACTTACCGACCCCACCTTTAACTACATTTATCATATAGCATAAAACACACCCAAGTTTATAAAATATTGTTTTGTTATAAATTAAATTAGCCAACATTTAATACCATAACAACAAGAGTTGGCATTTATAAACATTTAACTGATTGTCTATTTTCCTTTGAATAGTTGAGTTTTCTGGATGTTCTTTCTGGCTTATGTTTAGATTTTTCTGCATTAAGTACTTTCACACTTTATACTTTAAAGAGGCCCTATTGTGCTTTTGGGCTATTCCCTTCCCTGTAGTGTGTTACATGGGTTTGTGTGCATGTAAATGGTCTACAAAGACTAAAATCCCAAAGCTCACACCAGAGGGATGTCTTTTACTTTAACTTCTTTTTACATTGTGGTATTAGGTATTTCACTTAAGTAAAGGTCCTACATGCTTTAACTGTTAACTGAGTCTGACTGTCTGATTATGTATAAAATGATAATTAATCACTGCATGACTTTCAGGTGACATGGAGGAAGGCGTCCCAGGGTAAGGTGGTGCTCTCCCCCAGAGGCCTGGTCCAGGAGCTGGGAGCAGGAGGAGGTGGAGTGGGTGGAGCCGAGGAGCCGTCAGAGGAAGGCAGAGTCAGTCTGCAGAAGACTGCCGGCGAGCGCTTCGACCCCGACACCGGCAGCGGCATGCTGTTCCTCAGCAATGTGACCGTGGCCCACGCAGGTTTTTACGAATGTGAAGCCTGGAACGCAGGGGGCGTGGCCAGGGTGACCTTCCAGCTGGCCATCAACTCATCTACTTCCTCGTCTACCTCCTCCATCTGGGCCTCGTGGTCCCAGGTGTCCTCGCCGTACTCCCCGTCCTGGCCCCGGCTGAGGAGCCACGGCTCGGCGGCGGGCTCAGATGTGAGCCGGGAGCCGCTGTACGCTCTGGGCAGCATGGCCTTCAGTGCTCTGGGGGCTGCCACGCAGACGGCCATCGCTGCGGGCATCTCCCTGCTGGCTCTGACCGCCCTGCTGCTGCTCGCCATGATCTACAGCCGCCACCACCAACCAGAGAAGGAGGCTGAGGCAGCTGAGAAGGTGGGTGTGTTTGTCTGTACTGAAATTGATGGGGATAAACTCCCTCCATAGGGAGCTTTGGGATTTCGACTCTGTAACACTTGTGCTTCTATTGGCTAGCGCTCCAACACATTGTACGCAATAGGCTAAGGGGCGGAACATCTTTTAGCGATTGACCAAGCACAGCAGAGCCAGCCAGCTAACCAATCAGAGCAGACTGGGCTCTGGTTTCAGACAGAGGGTGAAAAGAGGTGCTGCAGCACAGACAGTATGAGAGAAATAAAGAGCTTCTTGGACATTAAAGCATGGAATCATCATCAAAATACAAATATGAACCTGAAAATCCTCAGATTTTCTACATTTAGATGTTCCTGTGATTTTGACCCTGCAGGAGGAGAGCATCCTGTATGTGAACGACTACTCCGACGGCCCCACCACCTTCGCCCAGCTGGAGGAGTACCGAGACGAGCGCGGCCACGAGATGTACGTCCTGAACCGGGCCAAGCCCGTGCTGCCTCCTGCCCCCCCCACAGCTGTCTCCACCACCAACTTGGGCTGCCCCGCCCCGTCCGATACCTCCAGCCACACCCTGTCCTCGGGGCAGGACCAGACAATGAGTCCCACTCTGGCCCCCAACAAGAAGCTGCAACAGCAGCAGCAGCAGCAGCAGCAGGAGGGCGACATACGAACCATGAGGAGGATGGCGGGGGAGGGAGGGGAAGCCGAGCCTGTGATCACATCAGAGGCTGAGGGGATGTTTCTAAATCACACAGGCCTGTTCATGGACTCTCAAATCGCCTATGAGATCCACTGCTGAAGGGGGGGGGGGGGGAATCTAGGGCAACACAGAGGCTCTACAGCAAAGCCTGTCACATCTTATCTTATAATGTCAGGGATCTACCAGAAACTGACACAAAGCACATCCCTGTGGAAGGATTCACTTCCTATAATGGACTCGTGTTGGAGAAGGTTGAAATACCTAGCACAGCTCTCAATCTGGTTAACTAAATCAAAAGCACTTTTCAAAGGACATACTGTGACCTTGCACGTCAACACAACAGTAGTGAGTAGGCCGGTGCGTAGGTTGCCGTACAAATACTCTACACTCAAAGACAAACGTACCTGGACTCAGGTATGAACCAAACTGCACACTTGTACATGACATTTATCAGAAAACGTTAACCTTTATTGTGCAAGAGTTAAATCTGTCCTCTGAAGATGTTGGCAGGGTGAGTAAGACCAGAGGGTACAACGTTAACAAGAGGGGGAAGTCATGGAATCTTCCATTTCATGAGCATGTGTTTTATAATGATTGTTATTGTCTGGACATGTTGGAGTCAGACTGTGCACCTGCCGAGCGTCTGAAGGCAGTACAATGCGTCAGCTGAACTTTGTAACTATGTATTTAAAAGTGTGGGAACATGTTCAATCATTACAGAGAAACTATCTTAAAGAGTGTTAATCTCCCAATAATTAAAAAAGACCCTTTAGTCTGGTGGTACAGCAGCGGGGGATGTACAATCTTACAGCAAAAGGAACATATTAAATAGAAAGGCAAGCACATGTTAAAGAAGCCCTAAAATGCTTTTTGGGTTTCTCCCCCCCCCCCCCCCCCCGCCTGAAAGGCCCCATTGGAATCCTGTGTTTACTTCCATATAACAATGACATCACTATGTAACACGTGTGCTTCTATTGGCTAGCACTCCAATAAATTATACTTAATAGACTAAGGGGCGGGACATCTCTTAGCTGTTGACCAATCAAAAAAGAGCCGGTCAGCTAACCAATCAGAGCAGACTGGGCTCTGGTTTCAGACAGAGGGTGAAAAGACCTTTTGGAACATTAAAACATGGAAACAAGTCACAGTAGAGGCACTACATGCTAATTCATAGTGTGTATGAATACAAAAGTGTATATTGCACATACACTACTATTGAAGAGATGACTGTTCTGAGTGTATTGGAGTTGCAGCCAGTAAACTAAATACATTGTAAAACAGTAAATATTTCACAGTAGTGTTTTTCCACATCAGTGTGCTATAGTCCGTTCCGGTGGTCCACCAGGGGTATCTCTCTGTGAGACCTCGTGGGTGCAGCCGTCCGTCACTTAAGGAGTTGCACAGTGCCGACATGAGCATGCTGTCCAACAGTGACGACAGCTTGGCCATCATTCTCCTGTCTCCCCGCACTCCAAAATACCTCAGTGTCCTCAGCAGATAGAGTCTGCTCGGTCCTTTCTTCTATAGAGCAGTACAGTAATCTGGCCAGTCCAGTTTATTGTCCTGATTATTAACCTTTGGGCTCTTTGCAGGCACCTGTTCTTCCAAATATCACTGATGCTCTGCATGTGGGTACCAACAATGTTCTGGGCAGGTTTAATCTCCCGCTGCAGAGCTCTCCTGTCCTGCGCACCAACCATGCCAGTTTGTAACGTTTCCAGTCAGATCCTTTCTATTCATCCTCTGTAAAAGTTGACAATAACTTTTGACTGATTAAGCTTTTTTTTTTACAAGATATGTGAAAACCATGTCAGGTTGTTTCTGATTCTTATTTCCAGGACCATCTCTCCCTTTTTTATGAAATCAAAAATAAGCATCTTTGTTTTGCTGACGTTGAGTCAGTCAGTGCAAGTTTGTAGATTTCCCCTCTCATAAAGTCTCATTGTGGTCGTCAAATCCAGATCTTCCCCATGCTCTTGATCCCAACCCTCCATGAAATCCAGATCTTCAGCATCCTCTTCATCCCATTTACATCATCATCAGTGGTCAAACTGGGCAGAGGGCAGGTTTCATTTTCTACTTACAGTTGCACCTCCCCCTTAAGATATATATATATTTCGATGATGTTGAAACGCCAAATACTATTCAAATTCGCTCCTGGCCTTCTGCGATACAGGGATGCACCTTGACATTAGCATATTCCATTATTCTGCAAAAGAAAACATTGTTTTCAACAGAACAAATGAAGTGTAGCATTTCTCTGCTTTTTTAGGAGGAGGAGGAATGTAAACCAAATAAAACATAAGTGGGGATGTATGCGCACACCTTGTTGCAGCGTTTGAGAACTCAAACTTCGATTTAAAAACTGTACTCAGTTGTTTTTGTCAAACTGGTGAAGATGTTATTTTTAAGTTTGCAGAGCAATGATAACAATAACTGGGATTTAAGAGTGTCAGTGACATCATCTGTCTTCTAGGATGAATAAACTATTAGATATTATATATTTTCCCCAAAACTGTGAGTAAAGGTTTATAAAAGAGAAATTAATCTCATTGACAGGATGAAGATTATGATGATCTGATTGAGTTTACTTAATTTAATATTTTGTACTGAACAGGACCCAACAACAAAACTGATCAGACCAGGGATACAGTGGATACATATATATTCATATGTAAACATATCCACACATTGTATTAAATAACTAACTCAAATGTAACTATGTGCATACAATATTATAACAAATCAATATCATCTCCTTCCTATTTTTATGCCATATTCAGGCCATGACAAAAGTGTCAGATTAGAGTCAGTCCATTTTTTTTAATGTGTGAAATGTTCCCAATAATAAAAACCAATTGTAAAAATAATATTAAATATTTGTCCATCTCATTGTCTTTAAAGCTAAGAGAGATGTAGTTTTCCCTTAGATGGATCCTTGGTCTTCTCCTCCCTGTATAATCTACTTTATCCTTTCAGAATAATATAATAAATGTACATACATGTATATAATATACATACAATCCACATATTATTTAATGTCCAGTCTAAATCACACATTTTTTTAAAGAATAATGTATTGTCTCATGCAGCTAAAGTCGATCCATTCCTTGCATAATGTCTTAACAATTGGCAAATGATCAGAAACCACTGGTGTTTACCTGTTCCCGAGCAGCCATGCAGGTAAACACAGTAGTGAGTACATCAGGCTCCCCCCCCCCGGCAGAGGTTCCAACTCTGGAGAACAGAGAGGATTGTTACCAGAGCGACATTGGACACCCTGCACAAAACCAGCATTTTAAAATAAACAAGTTGACATCAACTGGGACCAGATTTTTTTTAAACGGTGAAACTATGCCATATAAAGCGTGGTGCAGTGCTGACGTATTTCACCAGTCCAGTAGAAGTTGCCCCAGTGTATTCAGCCAAGGGTTACCTTGGTATACCAGTGTATTCAGCCAAGGGTTACCTTGGCTGAATACACTGGGATTTTTCCATTGGATTTGAAGATATTGAAGAAAATAAGATCTGTTGCAAAAACAAGTTAATGACACTATACATTTTGTTTATCAGGATCATCTTTACATATTAACATGGCTTTTATAATAACTGAAGCGTTAATAAGTAAATAAGGTTATGCTAAACTACATGACTATCATATAATAATAATCCTTATATTTATTATAGCGCTTTATCAAAGACTCTCAAAGTGCTTTACAAATACACATTACACATACAATGGTCATCTACTGTGGACAATACCCACAGGAGCAAATTCGGGTGAAGTGTCTTGCCCAAAGACACAACGGCCTGACGCAGTGGGGCGGGAGCGGGTTTCGAACTGGAGTTCCCCTACACCCCCTTGATCTGATAATCAAACGCACAGACCACTGCCCCACCCGTTCATATGACTTCTCGTAAACGACAAACTTGTGTCAACTAGGAAGTCATAATTCTCATTCCAATGTATAGATAAATATTTCATCACTCCAACGGTAGTGGGCCAAACAAAATTCCATTAGCAGAAACACGCTGCAGTTTAAAGAATGACAGAAATGTGCCGAAACACATGACAAGGAAGAAACATCTTGACAACACATGTGAAGCATTTAGAAAAACATTAACCAACGAATGAAACACTAAAAGCATTGCATTAACGAAATGCTGCAAATAAAATACACTGCAAGAAGCTCAAAACACAACAGCAACCAGGGGACACTAAAAAGTGACGCACGCAGCTGGGACCGGAGTGCTTGTTGACGTCCGGGGATTATAACGTTGGCTAACTGTCACTGATGTTGGAAATGTACCTAAAATGTAAGTTTTATTGTTTTATTTTAACAACGTGATCGCATGATTCCTTCAGATATTATTGCAGATCTAACCTAGTCTCGTCACACAACAATTACAATAATAAAAACAGACTAACTCTGCAAACAGTGACAGTTTGCTAACTTTATAATCCCCAAACTTCAACAAGTGCTCCAGTCCCAGCTGTGTGCATCACTTTTTAGTGTAGTTTTTGTGTTTTGAGCTTCTTGCAGAATTTTGTTTATGCAGCGCTTTTAGTAAATGCTTTGCATGTTTTGAAGTTGTTGATGTTTTCTAAAAGCTGCGCATGTGTTGTCAAGTTGGTAAAGATGTTCCTTCATGTGTTTTGGCACATTTGTGTTTTTATATTTGCATCGTTTTTGAAATGGCAGTGTTTTTGACCGTTGTAGTGTGTTTGCACCTGTCGGCCACCGTACAATGGCCATCTCATTGCATTAACTTATTAAAATGGTCTTTCAGTATGTGTTACTGTTGTATTACTCCTCGTAAAGGCTACAACATGCTTCTCCAGGCTGCATGCATCTCAATCAATCAATGTTTATTTATATAGCCCAATATCACAAATGTTACATTTGTCTCAAATCAAATCAAGTTTTATTTATACAGCACATTTATAAACGATTTTTGGTGGAGCCAAAGTGCTGTACATATAATAAAAATAGCCTACAGTAGAGACACTTTACAGCAAATACAACAGCACAGATTGTTCAGAATATCAGTATGACAATACGACACCCTCTGTCCTTAGACCCTCTGTCCTTAGACCCTCTGTCCTTAGACCCTCACATCGTACAAGGAAAAACTTCCGGAGAAAACCCACAGTTTAAGGGGAACATGGGAGAAACCTCAGGGAGAGCAACAGAGGAGGGATCCCTCTCCCAGGACGGACAGACGTGCAATAGCTGCCGTGTGGAAGTTGAAAAGATAATACATTTACAACATAAGTAAGGCAAGGCAAGTTTATGTATATAGCACATTTCAACACAAGGCAATTCAAAGTGCTTTACAAAAATGAAAGACATTAATAGCATTTAAGAAACATATTATTAAATGATATCTAAAAACACTCATTTAAAAGCAAAGATACATGAATCACAGTTACAGTGCAGTGTGAGATACACACATCTGAACGAACCCCCCTATGGAAAATTATAATCTGACCCCATGGTGCCTTTTAGTTTTCGCCGAAACTATTCCTCTTTTTTATTGTTAAATGCACATAGTTAAGTTTACCTTCTCTTTCTAGGACTTTTTTGGTGTCCTCCGCGAACCAGGGTCTTGAAACCAAAACGGCACACGTAGGGGACTTTAACCCCAATAATGACTTTAACTACCTTTGGGCGGCTCAAGGCAATTCAAAGTGCTTTACAAAAATGAAAGACATTAAGAAAATGGCATTAAAAAGCAAAGATAATAAAAGTTACAGTGCAGTCTAAGATATGAATAGTTCAATTAAAAGCAGCAACAAAAAGAAAAGTCTTCAGCCTGGATTTAAAAGTAGTCAGAGTTGCAGCGGACCTGCAGGTTTCTGGGAGTTTGTTCCAGATATTTGGAGCATAATAACTGAACGCTGCTTCTCCATGTTTAGTTCTGACTCTGGGGACAGTAAGCTGACCAGTCCCTGAAGACCTGAGAGATCTGGATGGTTCATCATTTAGCAGGAGGTCAGAAATGTATTTTGGGCCTAAACCATTCAGTGCTTTATAAACCAGCAGCAGTATTTTGAAATCTATTCTTTGACACACAGGAAGCCAGTGTAAAGACTTCAGAACTGGAGTGATGTGATCCACTTTCTTAGTGTTAGTGAGGACTCGAGCAGCAGCGTTCTGAATCAGCTGCAGCTTCCTAATAGATTTTTTAGTGAGACCTGTGAAGACACCATTGCAGTAGTCGAGTCTACTGAAGATAAAAGCATGGACAAGTTTTTCCAAATCCTGCTGTGACATTAGTCTTTTAATCCTAGATATGTTCTTTAGGTGATAGTAGGTAGTCCAACTGTTTGGAAATGCATGAGTCTATAAGATGAATCCAGGAGGATGTCAAAAATCCTGTGGTAGCCATCAGAGAAGTAGTATGATGAGAGTCAGGTAGGACCGCAGAGACTGGTTCAGCCACGACTCGAAATCCAGGACTCAGGATTCAGGGATCAGGGATCAGAGGCCTGTACTACGAAGCAGGATTTTCGCTAAGCGAGCTGAATTCAGGGAAAGATCTGGATTTCCGGTCCTACGACGCTGGTTCACTTCTTAGCGGGCTAGATTCTCCACGGTAACTTATGCTGAATGGCTAGCCTGCTCCGGCTCCAGGATAAGAGATCAACTCAGTGAAAGAAGAAGTTCTTCTTCTTCTTCTTCTTCTTCTTCTTCTTCTTCTTCTTCTTCTTCTTCTTCTTCTTCTTCTTCTTCTTCTTCTTCTTCTTCTTTATTCCCTTTTCTTCTTCTTCTTCCTTCTTCTTTCTTCTTATTCTTATTCTTCTTCTTCTTCTTCTTCTTCTTCTTCTTCTTCTTCTTCTTCTTCTTCTTCTTCTTCTTCTTCTTCTTCTTCTTCTTCTTCTTCTTCTTCTTCTTCTTCTTCTTCTATGGCGAATCGCTTCCACTTGGAGCATATATCGCCACCTACTGTTGATTTGTTTAATGTCCATGTTAAATCCTTGTCCTCGACCAGTGTTTTTTAAGAAAACTTTGAAGATCAGCTTGTTTACTTCATTTCTTGAGTTACTTGTGAATATTGCCTTGGAAATCCATGTCCCCTGATTTTAAGTTGTTCCAAGTAGTGTTTAATTTCGTCAGCTATTTTTTATTTAGTTTAGTCTTAGTCCTGTGTTAAATTTCCTTTTTAGTTTTGGTCATATTTAGTCACCTTCATCCTGTTTTTATTTAGTCAAGTTTTAGTCGACTAAAAGTCTGCCCGGTGTAATTCAAATATACCGCCGCGCGCAGCACAGACACAGCTGCTGCCCTGCCGCAGCACCGGAAATGGAACTGCTGGGAGAAAAACGGACTATCAGAGATGTAACGTTATCTTTGATAATATTTCGTCTCCTCATTTTTCGTCAACGAAAGTAAAGAGAGATTTTGGCATAGTTTTTATTTAGTGAACTACATTTTCGTCTCGTCACTTTTCGTCAACGATATTGCATGATGATTTCGTTACAGTTATTGTTTACTGCCGTCGGTGCCGTCTCGTCATCGTCTCGTTTTCGTCATGGAAAAAAAGGTCGTTGACGAACATATTTCGTCATAGATTTAGTCAACGAAATTAACACTAGTTCCAATGCAGTTTTCAGAATGAGTTTTTGCCTTGTATATTCCGGGCAGCTAAAAAATACATGATGTATTGTCTCTGATTGTTGGCAACCATCACAATTGCCAGTTGGATGTTTTACAATCAGATGCAGTGATGAGTTTAATCCAGATTGAACCAATTTTATCCTGCTGTTAATGTTCTGTTCTCTTCTATTACTCCCCCAAGTGCTTTCCGTTCCTACTTCCCTTTGTATCTGGTGTCGTAGCAGCTTTGAAATCAGCTGTGGTCTAGAGAGAATTATGAGTTAGGTAACGAACGTACAGCAACACAATATTCGTATTAAAGATATCAAAGATATTTTATACTTGCAAGTATGACGTCTCACCAGAGAGCACGTAGGCCTACTGTTCTGAGTGAAACAGGCTCTCCTTTATAGGAGGACATCAAAGCTTAGTTAAATTACAAACATTTGGTTAGGCCAGCTGAGACCCCCTGGCACTGTATGCAAAACTCACACCCTACACAGAGCAAAAGGGATACAGATAACACCTTATCCTAACTTCCTTCCCCTCATCCTATCTTCTAATGGATGTCATAAAACCCCCTAGTCTAAACACATCTGTTTTACACACACATTGAAAAGGTCCCTTCCCACGCTATGACTTAATCAGAGGAACAGTTTACAGTCAGCAATGTTAATCCTTTAGTGTTACTGTCCCATTACTTTTGCCATTGTTGCTTGATAACAACTTTCGTAACTGATTTGACTTCTGCTCTACTGATGGGTACTATTATATCAATCTGGCTTGCTTTCAATCAATTGTTTGCCAGTTGATTCACTACCTCATTCCCTCTAATACCCACATGCGCTGGAATCCACACAAATTGAACAACAATTCCCAAATGTACTAACCTAAACATGATATGCAAAATGTCATGTAGAATATCCTGATGACATTCTGAAGAGAAGTTGTTTATACTCTCCAAAGCTGCACTGGAGTCAGAGCAAATGACCACTCGCATTGGCTGTACTTCCTCTATCCACTGAAGTGCTAGTGAGATAGCCATCATCTCTACTGTGTATACTGCGATGTGATCACTCGCTCGCTTTTCCACTTTGACCTTTAACTCAGGAACATAAAATGCACAACTAGCTTTTACCATTTTCTGTATTTTTGGATCCATCAGTAAATATCTGTATAAACTGCCCATATTGTTCATGTAGAACAGTGTTCACGTAACTCTGCACATTGATTTTATTTTTCATTGAATGTAACCGTTTCAATAAGGATACATCTATCAATCAATCAATGTTTATTTATATAGCCCCAATATCACAAATGTTACATTTGTCTCAGTGGACTTTACAGTTTGTACAAAATATCAGTATGACAATACGACACCCTCTGTCCTTAGACCCTCACATCGTGACCCTCACAAGGAAAAACTTCCGGAGAAAACCCACAGTTTAAAGGGGAAAATGGGAGAAACCTCAGGGAGAGCAACAGAGGAGGGATCCCTCTCCCAGGACGGACAGACGTGCAATAGATGCCGTGTGTAAATTGAAAAGATAATACATTTGCAACATAGGTAGTCCAAATGTTTGGAAATGCATGTGTGTATAATAGTAAGATGAATCCACGAGGATATCCATCCAGGACCTATGATCCAGGACCACAGCCACGACTCAAGATCCAGGGCTCGCGATCCAGGACAGAGGAGCGCAGGATCATCCATGA